GGAGATCAAGAGGGTTTGCATTTGACTACTCTAATCATTATAACACTCTCCCTCAAAGATGAGAACTTGATTAGGAGTGTTTGCCAACATATTTTATAGAAAGAAAAGACCCAGTGCCAAATTTATTGGGAAGTAACAAGAGATTTTATAGAAGAGAGTGATCGTATTAAACAGAAAATTGTAGCATACATCTAAGAGTTAAATCAAGTCCTATCTTTTCACAAAGCATAACCTATCAAAGCTATACGAGACTGAAATTATAAATGTCCTTAATAACCCACAGGTCATTTCTTTCGATGTGAATCATTGTGTTTGCATGAGGTATTTAATTACCTTGGAGAGTTACTCAACAGGGAATGCAGCAGCTGTTCTTCCGGAGACCGAGCAGAGAGCAACAGGAGACATGACCATGTTGTGCATTTCCCAGCATCAAACAAATATGTCCTGCACCCAGCACTCATCGTACTGTACTGAAACGACCAACTTGGTTCACTTTAAACGTAGCTTTCTTGACTGCACAAAGCACATATTGTACTGCACACATCATTATTGTTTCTCGTATAATAAAATGTACATCAATCTTAATATCTCATCCCTCTCACCTCGCCTGCCTGTGAAAAGTATGAGAGAAGGAGGGATGGTGATGATATGGCCGGTCTCACTTCTCCCGGTTGTCCTCCTCGTTCTCAGAGACAGCATACCAACACACCTTATATACATCCATCTCAATCGCTGGCAAGTAGCAGAAAATGTTTTCATACTCATGGTATTCAAAATCAGATCTCAGGTCGCTTTTCACAAAGGTGAAATAAAATAATATGATTGGCTTTTCACTACATTATATATATATATATATATATATATATATATATATTAACATACTGACAAATTTGATCAAATATAAAAAGATGATATACATATGAATTTGTCGAATATGGTTGCTGTTCAGAATCGAAGAGAGCATAATGCCCGCCAACAATTCTCTTTCTTCTCCGGCCTATCCTTTTCCCAGTCAACTTGGCACCCAGGAAGATGCTCCTGCTCTCCTACCTCGGTCGAAGCAGGGTTCAGCATTCTCCTCTCACACGTTTCTGGTCACGGTAACGACAGCGAAACCCGATGGCCGTGGCACGGCTTTATGCGGAAAACAGGCTGGCCCCTGTCTCGGCGCAGAGAGCAGAGCCGTAACGAAGCTCTCTTATGTTCTAAGAATCCTTTTGACTTGACCATTTCCAAACACTTTTTCCTATCCATGGAAACCTAAATCTGTTCTATATATTAAATCACGATGCAGGTCTTCGGTCGATGTTGATGGTTCAACTTTAATCACTTTGGAAAGCGTTTACTTTTGTTTTTTGCTTTTGTGGTTAGTCATTGCATAATATGAGTTTTGAGGGGGTTTTTGTTAAAATATGTATATATATATTTAATAAGGGAAACTTTAATTGGTTAATGCTTTTATCTTTGAAATGTTATTGATTAATTATTTTAATTTTTGGTGTGTTATTCATGGTAGGAGAACTCATAAAAAGTAAATTGGCTAACTAATGATGGGATAAGCTTAATTATTATTTACTTTCTTAAAATTAATTGTGTACAAATATGTCAACCCTCATTAACACCCATCTAAAAGAAACTCATTAGTGCTTTTGCATAAAGCTATAATATTTTTTTGTTTAACCAAATCAAATTATAATGTTTTGAATAGGTTACTATGTTTCTTGTTACTGAATTAAAAAAACACATAACTCTATTTCAAAATACTGTATCTCAATTTCAATTTATTAATAATTTATAAAATATTTAGGGTTCTAAATATGTATTCTTATTGGTTTGGGAATAAAAATAATTAAAAATTTGACTTCTATATACACTGATAAATATTAGTATAATTGAGGAATAACGGCTCAAAATATAATAAAAACTAACCTATTACCCTTAGTAGAGTTTTAAATAGATATTTTTATTGGTTTAAAAAAAAAAAAACTTCTATATCAATTATAGTATTATTGAACAAGGTTACGATATTTTTGACATCTCCATAAAAATACCATAAGCCTACATAGAAAAAATAAATTAGACCGATTTACCTTATGGATCGATCCATTTTTGGGATAAAAAAAAAGATGATTATGGTTTGGAAAAAATAAAAAGGGACCCTTGTGAGAAAAACTAAAAATGAATTTTTTTTTTCCCGGAAATTCCATTTTTAATGATACTAGTGTTAATTGAAGTTGTAGCATCATTAACTACTCCTATGACATATGGGCAAGTTGAATTTTGCAAGGATAGAAATGTTGATTTGGAAGAGAGGTAAATGCAAAATTACTAATCTTGGAGGAATATATGCTTCAATTTTGCCTCAGATTGCTAGTCATTTGACCTATCTGTCTATCTATCTATCTATCTATCTATCTATCCAGAAGGATTAATCCAAAATGCTCTTCTTAGATGCCACTCATGCATTGACAAAAACATACCAACAACCACTTGTCCTTCATAAAGAAAAAAAGAAAAAGAAAAACTTATTCAAGTACTGATGATACTTATCTTAAGCAAAGAAATGTTGTCACTCATGTAGACATGGGCATGTGTGGTGCACTTTGAAGAACTGTTTGTCCTCTCTTTGGACCCTAGCATACTCACCTGCACAGAGAACATGGATTACGTGCTGAGATGGTACATTGACATGCATCAAGAAACATAAGAAGAAAAATCTTTCGACTTGTGCATAGAGCATTGCTTGTGTGTTTTGTGCCACACTGCTGCTTGTGCATATAGCATTGCTACTGATGAAGAAACAAAAGAAAATAATATGTTGCCATACCATTAGGATTATTATTTTTATTTCTTAGATTTTGGTCTTGTTCAAATGGTTATAAACATTTTCACTTTATACCATCTATATCATGCTCTCCAAATTGATAATATTAAAATTCAATAATAATTCATTCTAAAATCCAAATAAGGACACTAAGAAAACATTAAAGTTACATCCATAATTTCATAATTCGTAAGACATGTGTAGTTTAAAATTATATACCGTATTACTCGATGAATCATAAAATCTAAAACTAACTCACCAAGATAATAACAACCTCATAATTCTACGAGTGTAGTATTCTGTATAATCACAAAAATTAATGTTTATCATATGTTCATATCATTACATAAATTTACTTAATATTTCAAAACCTTAAACATGAAAGGTTATTTAAACTTTTACATGTCAAGCTCAACTCGATATTAGTTCTATAGGTACGTCATCTCATCCGAAGTACGTTTTTTTTAATAACACAAGTGATTCTCTAATGAATCATAAAAAAGTAAATTTGGTGGACCATTTGATCGAATAAAGTGCGCACAACTAAAACTAGCATTAACACAAGAGAATCCAAATTTTTGGTATTTCTTTTTTTTTTGTTCAAGAAAAATTTATTTTTTTTATTGTAGGAATTCTTAAAATTTCATTTTGATGGTTGATGAAAACTTAGTAACTAAAAGCTTGCACAATTCTGGTCCACATAAATGACGGACAACCGTGTTGTGTTTGTGGTTCATATGGTAATGGGTTATTCTAAGGACTCAAGTGGTGAGTTCAGCACTCTATTGAATTCCTTTTTCACGTTCACCAACATTTTCATGTCATGTATCACATCACTTGGTGGGCACAGCAGCACAGCGAGGGAACTCAGTACCCTCCCTCCCCCAACTTGGTAGCTTAAAGTTGGGGTCCGATCGATTGCTACTTGTCCTCTCCGGACACCATTACTCTTATTTTCGAATGTCATAGTAATCATCATATATATATATATATATATATATATATATATAGTTTACTAGTGGAAATTATCATAGATGTAATCCAAAAAAAAAGTTAAATATAAATTATATATTATACATGATATGATCCTCATCAATCTTTTAGTAACAAAGAAATGCTTTTCAATTATTTCTATGAATATATTTTTGGGTATGTTGTTATACGTTTCCAGAAGTTTCACATTAGTATCTTGATTTTGATCTTGCGTGGAAGATCGAAATATTATCAAAGAAAGAAGAAAGGTATATATAGTTCTTATAATCCTTATATTAGAGGGATGCTCAGTACTATAATTTACATGGTCCCCATGATAGTACGTAATTGATAATGCTAAGTTAATCAAAATTAAAATATTATGTCTTCTTGTCCTCACAAATAATATCAAGAAGCACATCCTTCGCGTAATCGTATACACAGACCATCCTTCCGTGGGTACAAAACCTTGAGACTTAACGTTGGCTCATTACACCAATTTCCATCCAAATACTTATCATTTGTCTAAATCACGCGTTTCAAGCAAAAGTACTTTATAATGATGTGGTGATGATGATTCATTCTTTCCTCAAAATTTAACTTATTTCTAAATCGGTTCTCTATCAATGATTAAATTCCAATTCATTGCATTGGGAAGAGAGCCTTTTTTAGTATTTGTTTATGGAAGAGGCATCAAACGTCACGAACTTTCATGTCATCGTTCGTCAATCTGAACCGTCCATTCTACCACGCTACGATTTTTGTGTTCACGAGACCAACTCCAAAGTAGAACGAATTAGACCGACGGTCGGGATTGCATCAGCGCTTGGCTTTGTCTTCTCTGGGCCGATCATATTCCGGTTCACTAACGTCCAAAGGAGGCGGTTCACTTTCGGTTTTTTTCCCCTCTTCTCTCTGGTTCGAGAGAGAGAGAGAGAGAGAGAGAGACACACACACACACACACAGAGAGAGCGCCTCCTCTTCGAGAAAACCCAACAGCGTCCGTATAAAGAAGGAAATTGACCGGAAGAAGCAAACGATTCGCTGTTCGTGAGCGGTTTCTCGTCATTCCAGCCTTCGGTCCTTTGTATCGAGACACCCAACAGCGTCCTTTGTATTGAGACACCCTTTTCCTGCCCTTTATTTTTTGTTTCCTTTAGGCAAATAATTAATCTCCGAGCCCTCAGACAGATCAAGGTAGGTTCTGACCTCGGATTCAGGTTTTACATCATTTCGTTGTTGGTTCTGTGTCTTTGCTGGGGTTTTTGGTTCTGGAATACGGAGGGGGGGAAGGATGTTTTCTCAGTAATAGGTCACATTGACATTGGACAGAAAAGATATCTTCGTTTTTAGGAATTTTCAGCCTGGTTTCCGGTTCTTAATCTGGATTTGGTGAAAAGGAGGAAACTCGGCCGTCGTGGTGTGGAAAAGATAGGATCTTTGTTTTCGTTGATCCGAGGTGTTTTTTCAGCGATAACTAGGCCTTTTGTCATACAGTTTAAGGAGCAATAGTTCTTCGTTAGTTCAATCTGCAATTTGTTTGTTCAAATATTTGATTTGTTGACTATTTGTGGCTCAGGCAATAGAGTTTGAATTTTTCTAGTTATGTCCGTGTGATCTGTTTCTGTGTTGATGATTGGCTTCGCTCCCTTTTCTTTTTGTCCAGGGGCAAAGATCGCATTAGAAGCAGCACAAATTTGATGGTAAGTTAATTCTTTGTGGTACTCACATTTTCATCTTCCTACTATGACGGCCTTGCTACTTGCATGATTGGTTTCTTGGTGTTTTCAAATATGCCTTGTTTTAAGAAATGTGCAGTAATGTTTGATCTTTTGGAAATTGATCATCAGGGGGAAGAGGCACCTGAGTATGTTCTGAACAGCTTGGAGCTTGCAGCTTGCGATTCTGAATCCACAGGCTGCCGGACGGCTACCATTGTTGGTAATAAGATGGTAATACTTTACTCTGGCTTTTATAAATCTGCCAATTTTATGGTTAATGTAATATATATCTTGCAAGATCTAATAGCTTTTATTTCCATGTTCAGTATGTAGTTGAAGGATCCGAGGATGGAAGCAAGTCATGGATCAACGTCAAAATTTTTGACAAGCTAACAAGATCATGGTGTGATGTGTATCCTCCGTTCTAATATTTGTCACTCAGGTTATTCCTAAAATTGGATCGATAAATTCTTATACTGGATCGGGCAGGGTGTTTCCTACTGTATTGGGTATCAAACCTGTCCAACTGAAAGGCCACTCAACTCTTCTTTTGAAGAATGGACAGCTATTGATTGTCAAGATGGATTCTACGTTGGACGGTTGCATCTGGTTTCTTGAGGTTAGAATGTGGTTTTCAGTTTTCTTAGTTGCTCTTATGTTGTATACTATCATTCAACATCTCTTCTTTTCAGAATTCCTTTAATGATTAACCACATGCTTTAGTTTCATACAAGGAAATAATTTATTTCATTCTTAGGCTATTTAATGATGTTATGTGAATGAGATGGGTGAAGTTCTCAACAACAATATGGACAAATTAGCATGTTGTGCCGATCTATGTTTGGTATATGGACCATTATTTGGATAGTCGGTATCCATCCCTCATGGACTACTTATGTTTATGTGATTGTGCCATACGTTTGGAATGATTTTGGTGCAAAACTTTGTTTATGTACACATGCTCAAAGAATTCAGATATGTCCATTTTGCTTTTGTTGGTAACCTTTTCATTGGATAATTTGGTAGGTGGATAGCCCTTTTGTTAAAGAGCAAAAGAAGATATTTGGAACTGAGGTAGTTGCCTGGAGTAAGGGTGTCATTGGCAATGCCCCAAAACCAATTGTGATCAGTGGTCCTTCTGGAGTCGGTAAAGGTACTTTGATAAACAAACTTATGAAGGAATTTCCATCGAGATATGGGTTTTCTGTAAGTCACACAACTCGAGCACCAAGAGAGAAGGAATTGGATGGAGTTCATTACCACTTCACAGAGCGAAGTATTATGGAGAAAGATATAAGAGATGGCAAGTTTCTTGAATTCGCATCAGTTCATGGAAATCTTTATGGGACAAGCATTGAAGCAGTTGAAGTTGTTACAGACTCTGGAAAGGTATTGTGAATTTGCCGGGTTTTCTGTGAATACATGCCTATAAACAAATATAATGTTGGTACTTCAATAGTTCAATTACACAATTTGTTTGGTGTTGATTTTATATAAACGTATGGAAGGCTTTGTGTTTCCAGAGATGCATCCTTGACATTGATGTTCAAGGAGCTAGATCCGTGAGGGCAAGTTCTCTTGATGCAATATTTATCTTCATTACTCCTCCATCATTTGAGGAACTTGAGAAGCGGCTGCGTGCACGGTACGGAAACTCATTTGAAAAATTTATAATGTTTCTACTCGTACAGTTGCCAGAGATCTTTTATAATGAAGCTAGGAAGACTATCACAATGATTCTCTTGTCAAACTACACAGTGGAACAGAAACTGAGGAACAGGTCCAGAAGAGACTAAGAAATGCCAGAGCAGAGCTTGATGAAGCAAAATCACCTGGTCTTTTCAATCATATTTTGGTAAATGATGACCTAGAATCATGTTATGGGAATCTTAAGGTGCTTCCTTCTCTTTTACATCAAGAGCATCACCTGTGCTGGTCCAAATTTCTACTTTTTTTTTGGATATGTAATATATGATGAATGAAACCATGTCTAATTGGTTGTTTATTCATGTTAGAAATTACTTGCTTCAGATGAAACTGCTGATCCTTTATATCAGTCATGTAAGTTACTAGCTACCTACACTTTTGTAGGATTATACTATTTGAAATAGGTATATATAAATTATTTCATTCATGCAGCTGTGAAGATCTTGAAAGCCCATGTGTCCGGAATGGAATCAAAAGCAGATCATAGAACTCTTATACATTGTAGCGCTAGCGGCACCAATGCAGCAACAAATAGTTTGTAAGTTATCCTTTTGTTTTACCAGATTGCACATTAACGACAACTGATCTCGTTTTTGACTTGTCTGCTTGTTATTCGGGTAGGCTTATGCTTGACACGTCATCACTTAAAGGAGGGGCTCCTGGCCGAACAAGAGGACTCGGTGTATATGCACTTGGATCCCTAGGTGATGGTCTTAACGGGATCTGACAACTTTGACATTTTATGAGTTAGGAAAGCAGAAGAAGGTATCTGCACTAGCACTGACTCGATTTTGGAATGATTTAGACTATGTTACAGAGTTGTTAGTATTTAAGCTCTTACACTGAGAAATATGTTCTTCTGGTAAAATTTGCATTCAGGTAGGTGCTCCTATGCTCTGTAAGGGTGAAGAACTTTAGCCGGGCATTGTTTGCGGAATTGGGATTCTATGGACCAGCTTTATGTCCTCATTCATCAGAGATAATTTGAATATGTCTATTTGTTCAATATTGTTTGAAGGTGACTTTAGTTTGTTTAAGATGAGAGTGAAAGATTTATGTTAATCAAGATGTTTCTGAATCATTGTTTAGATTCTTACTGATTAATGAGAAAAACACGGCCAAAGATCTTTTAGCATTGCAAGTGATTTTAGTTTAGATTTGAAATGGACTGAATGAAGAATTTCTCAAAGAATTTATAGAATGAATATGCATTCTTCACCCAGATGGAAAAAAAAAAAACAAAACAAAAGATAATCACATTTTGGATCAAGGAAGGCTCTTCCCTCCTCTGTTTCCTTGTACAAGATAGCAATCAACAAGTGCTTTCTTGTGATCACAAACAGTACTCGATCACTGTCAATGATCGATGTCCATTGTTTACGACAATCCAGGAATCAACCTTAAATAAACCGAGAGATGCATGCATTGTAATTTGTCACCGAGGACGAAAGAAGGGAACGAGATAAATTCTAATCGTCCATCTCACGGTAAAAAGATGGTGACTCTGCTGCAACATTGAAATCAATTGTTGGGTTATATCGTGATAGCATAGTCTGCAAATGGCCAAATCCACTGAACCGAGACATTGCAGCATCACTTGATGCCTCCTGCGCGTGCATGGTTAAATGAGGACGAGAGTGAGTTTTTAGAGATCAGTCACGAGTTCACGACACAGAGGAGGCGGCAGCAGCAGTAATGTTGCGCCATAATAATGTACAGAGTGATGATGAACAAGACATCAAAGTATGCCCAACTTTGGCAGACTTTTTTAGAGCTGGTCCACTTCCAATGCTTGTCATGGGGTGGTGGAGACAACAACGCATCATTCGCTGCCTTACCCTGCAACCCTCTCTGCTCCTGTCTCCCACAAAATAAGACCTTCCTGTCCACCCACCTAATAATAATGTAGCAACCAGCCATATGATGCAACACTACAAGCAAATGTTCTTCTAGATTTCAGCAAATGAATGCATTTAACTAACTCCTGCAGCCTCCTCTGCGCTATGTCTCGTTCTCCTCCATTCTCCTGATGAGCTCCTCTGCGTTCTCTGCTGAGACCACAATGTGCCTCGCCGACCCTTCGATGAATCCTTCCTCCACTCCCTTGTCGAACAGCGCAAGCAAGCTGTCGTAGTAACCATCCACGTTCAGCAACCCCACCTGCACAACACAACACAATCCTTCATGTAGCTCAATGTCATGGTGGAAGGGCGCCAGCCGAATGAGCTGACTACTCACTGGCTTGTCATGGATCCCAAGCTGATACCACGCCACTATCTCTAAGAGTTCCTCCATGGTTCCATAGCCACCTGAAGAGATCCATGTTCAGGAGAGTAAAGATCAAGATGTAGGCTTTGGGGCTTCAGCAGGAGTTCGACTCGGTTTCACCTGGCAGGGCAATAAAGGCATCGGCATGCTTGGCCATTTCTGACTTCCTCTCATGCATGTCTGCAACTACTTTCACCTCTCCGATGGATTCTCCCGATACCTGCTAAAGATTCACCAGCTCAGTTTGCTGCTGCCGCTGAACTTTCAGTAGTAAGTAGCAAAAAGGAGAGGAGCTCTGTGGCTCTTTACCTCACTTGGCAAGACCGATGTAGGAATGACACTGTGATGAAAGCAGTGAGTTAGAAGGCAAACGATTTCCATCTATGATGATGATAAGTGGACTGAGAATCTCACCCGAGCACATGACAGCCACCATCGAGGACAGTCTTGGATATCAAACCCATCAGCCCTACGCTTCCTCCACCATAAACCAAGTCTATCTTCCTCTCTACCTGAAAAGGAGACAGTGCACCGGCAAACAAGATTGTAGCGCGAGGAACAACACATGAGAACAAAGAGTGGAAAGAAAAAGGAATCATATATTGTTGCAGCAATGAAGAGCTGCTTCCATGTAGCCATTCTTCACAAGACAGAGAGAACAATCATTAGATTCCAAGCGTCAGAGCATTTCTTGAGATGTCACCAACTCACACAAGTATAGACATATATACAGGCAACAAAATTCTCAGCGAAGGAAATTTTCATTGTTCTCGGTGGAGTTATTGTTCATGGCACTTGGATGGCTAAGTGGTCTCACCAGTTGCTTCCCAAGGTCGATAGCTGCTTCACCGAAGGAGGGGTTGTTTCCTGATCTACTCCCACAGAAGACACATATTCTTCTGAACCTCCCTTTACCGCCACATCCCATTGCATTTGGTTGATTTGATTCCATCCCCACAACAAGAGGAGAGAGACGAGAGATGGAGGCAGGAGCAATGCACAAAGCCAGATAAAGAAGAGGGAAGACAAGGGAGGCTAACGCAAGTGCAATAGAGAATTAATATCAAAGCATGGAAGCCGACACCTTATTATCTCCCTCCTCCCCAGTCTTTTATCCCTAGTAGCTCCTTTTGCCTGCTCAAAAACACCAAGTACTTGGTGTTGGAGATGATACCAACATGAATTCTTCTCCACCTCCCTTTATCCCTTGCTCCTCCCTATTTGTTGCCTCTCTCTCTCTCTCTCTCTCTCTCTCCTCTCTGTGTTCCTTATTCTGAATCTAGTAGAATAACCATACAAATGACTTTCTTTTTATGCTTATCCAATCAGTGCACTGGGTTTGGTTTTGGTTCACTGTACTGTATAGACTGACCTCATTCTTCCACAGTCTAAACCTGACATATTCTGTTTATATAACCTTTAAGCAAAGAACTTGGCAACCTTAGTTTTTTCTCTTAAAGGACATCATGTCTCGCATATCTTGTATGACCACCTAAACAAGTCTTAGCTAGGGAAAGACTCAGCAATCTTCACAAAAGAACATTTGGAGCTCTAGCAAATTCCAGTAACTTCACACATGGTAATTGTTGTTGTTATCAAGGACAACCGGTGCTACTAATAGCATCAGATCATGTACCAAAGAAGCAAATTAAATTATCAGCCCAGAGGATGTTGTTATATGTGAATTACAATGATAACATGTAGGCCATTCCAGCAGAGTGGATTTGTGAGTGCAGAAGGGCTTTCCGACTTCCACCTTAATTAATTCTTCTCTTGGACACTTGGTTTACAAGCACACAGTGGATTAGCTCAGGGACTCGAAAGCAAACAGTGATTGGTTTTGGAATGATACAGGAAGGGATGCTGCATTCACAGAGGGCCCAGCAAAATTTTTCTTAATGGTGCTCTGCTTGGTGTTTTTGTGGTTGTTGGTTTCTGCTTGATGTGTACATTTGGAGCTAAAGAAAGGATGGAATAATGTGAGCCATACAGAAGATGGGGGGCTATGTCTACAAAGCACACCATTTAGTTCAGTGAAGCAAGAAGCAGATTTAGTGATTCTTATGTTTAGGATGGACCCTGCTTAACAGTTTGCTTTACCTCAGTAATAGATTTAAGGAGATTGATGAACTCAAATCACACTATGGAAGAAACTTCTTTCCATTCCTTTTGCCCACCATTTGCTCCAAGAAAAAGATATTGTATTCGCTTGATCAATGCCATTCTTTTGATGAGGTTCTCATGCAAGGTGGGAGAAAACCTGTGACAGATCCAGTATTATGCAGATGCATTCTTCCAATCTCAATACACTGTTTCCACTAAAGCTAGGATATTTATGAACTGCATCATGTGGATTTGAGGAACAATATATATATATATATATATATATATATATATATATATATATATATATATATATATATATATATATATATATATATATATATATATATATAT